ATTTCTTCCCTCGGACACCTAGCTCCTCTACCTTCCACCTCCCTGCATTTTCTGCCCAGCCGGCTTTTCCCGAGGATTTTTCTTTGAGCTCTCCTGCCCAACCTCGAACGCTTTCTTGCTCCTGCTGTCATCTGCGGAGTACTCGCGCAAGCCTCCAGGCTGCTCAGAGCGCTAGTCCTAAAAACGGCACTCGGCGACTTGGGTCCTTTAAGGTGGCTCTGGCCCTCGGAGGCGGTGCTGGGCCTTTAAAGCGGCTCCGGTTCTTCAAGGTGTCCCTAGCCTTCTGAGGAGGCGCTGGCCATTTAAGGCTGCTCGGGTCCTTACAAGCGGCGCTGGTCTTTTAAGGTGGCGCCGGCCTCCCCGTCCCTTTTGTCTCTCGGTCTCCTCCCGTCTGCTCCAGCTCCTCCTTAAGCCGCCGGAACTGACCCGTTCCTGAAGCCGGTGCGGCCGCCTCTCAACCCGGAAGGAGCGAGCGAGAGCTTGAGCTAAATTGGGCGCATGCCCCTTCCAGGGCTGCCTCTGGAGGTGTTCCTGCGCCCGCCTACGCTGCTCCATTGGCCGCCGCTGCCGCCGCACCTTGCTGAGGGTTGGGGGGACGCGCCGAGTCGCCCGTCCTAACCTGGGGGTGACGGGGCGGCCCCGGCTGATGCCTCGCTTTCGGAAGCCGGGCGCCCTCATCTCCCGCCGCCCTCGCCTCGTCTGAGGGCGGGCCCGGCTCCCCGCCCGGCCCGGGGGATCCCGGGCCCCCTCGCCCCCTCGCCCCCGCACGTGGCCACATCACTGCTTCCCAGCGTCCGAGGCTACCATGGGTAATGAACAGAGCGCCGAAGCCGAGAGCAGACCCCACGACCTGAGCGCCTCAGGTCGGTGTCCTCGCGCTTGTCACCGCTGTCACCTCCCCCCTCCCATCTCTCGGGGTGGAGGCGGAAGGGGTTGCTAGGTAACCCTGCGGCGCCTCCATCCATCGGCCCCAGTGAGGTGGGGTCCCACGGACTCGTCTGGTGGAATGGAGCGCGCGTGGCCAGAGGTTGACTGTGCCGTAGGAGGAGCATTTGGACCGAACGCATCCTCCGGCCCAGCCCTTTTCTTTTTACAGAAGACATGGTGCAGAGAGAGGGCTGCTGACTTGCTTTCTCGGAAAGAAAGTGGCAGAGCTGGGATTTGAACGCAGGCCCTTTGACTTCACATCCCATGCTTTTCCCGCCACACCACAGATTCCTGCTGCTATGGGTCATGGCTAAACTTTTTTTGCTAACATGACTTGATTTCTTTTTCATGGTCAGATGAATTTTTAGCTGTGGCCGACAGGTATCAATCACAGGAGGTTCTTAACCATTTTTGTATCATGACCACGTTTGGCAATCTGGTGAAGCCTGTAGGTCCCTTCTCAGAATCCTATTTTTTCCCCTTAAATTCCTAACTGAAAGAAATGGTAAATTTCAGTGGTTAGTGAAAATAAAAATGTTATTTTTTTCATCCAAGTTAAGGGAACTCTTGAAATCTATCTCTAAAACCAGGTTAAGAACCCCTTTTCTAGATGTGTCAGAGGAGATATCTGTGCAAGTATAGGTTAGACGAGGTAGCCTTCGAAGACCCTTTCTACTCAGAGATCCTGTGAATTTATAGAAACATTCTACCAGTTCAGAAGAGCATTAAAGGTTCCAGGGATTATTTAATAAGTGTCAACCTTTTCCCTTTCTCCTGCATTGAAATGTCATGTCCCTGACAACCAGATTTTCTCAGGTTCCTATAGCAATAACAATGGTTTTCATTGATAGAAGGCCTTTTTAGGGGAGTCCAGACTTTGATGCAGTGAGGGAACACTCTTTACCAATGTAGTTGGTAAAATCTAAGTTTGCAACTTAGATTCTAAATCTTAAAGAGTTGTCTGGGTTTCTGAGAAGGTGACTGGCTGAGGGAACAAACCAGTATTTGCCAGTAGTGGGACTTGAACCCAGGGCTTTTTGTTAGGAAGACTAGCTGTCTATCTAGTAAACCAGAGATGTCAAACACCCAGCCCATGACATGGCCAGAACCAGATTAAAATGTAATTGGGAAATATTTAACAAATAAACAAAAGTACATTAAAACGACTATTATATTTTAAAACTAAGCCAATATACAACCCGCAGGATCCAAATGGGAGATTTAGTGGCCCTCCTTTCTATTTGAGTTTGTCGTCACTGTTCTGTACCACAGTACTTCTCAAAGTTTTACAATTTACAAAATACTTTGCTCATAAAAACTCTGAAGTTGAGGCTCATCGAGATTAAGTAGCTAGGGTCACCTAGCCCAGACAGGCTGTGTCAGAGATGGCACTTAAATACAAGTCTTTATGACTGTGGGGCCATCTCTTTACACTCTACCGTGCTTCTGTCTTAAATGTGAAATATATTCACGATAAATGCAAAGTAATTTTGGGATAGGGAGGCACACTAGAGATGGGAGATGAGGTGTCATGTATGGAGACTCTTAATTCTAGTGCCTTCCCTGTGGTGATTGCTTCCTATTTCTCTTGTATAGAGCTTGTTTGTACATAGTTGGGGGTGGATAGTGGCAGAGTGAATGGAATGCTAGGCCTGGTGTCTGAAAGACCTGTCAGATACTTACTAGCTCAGTGTCCCTGGGCAAGTCACTTAACCTCTGTTTGCCTGAGTGTTCTCATCTGTAAAATGGGGATAATAGCACCTACCTCGATAGGGCTGTTGTGAAGAACAAATGAGAGCATACTGTAAGGAGCTTTGTACTGCACCTGGCACATGCTAAGCACAACATGAATGCCAGCTATTGCTATTATTATTATCACTACTATTATTCATTGTTAATATGCTGGCCCCCATTAGACTGTGACCTCCTTAAGAACAAGGACTGTCTCTTGCCTTTCTTTGTATCTCTGGTGCTTAGTAGAGTGTCTCCAAAGTAGTAGACTTCAGTAAATATTTATTGACTAATTGGCTGGAGCCAGATTTTGAAAGACTTGAAAATACCAAACAGAGGAGCTCATATTTTATCTCAGGCTTCCTTCTTTTTTTTTTTTTTGGTTAGGCGAGGGGGTTACGTGACTTGCCCAGAGTCACACAGCTAGTAAGTGTCAAGTGTCAAGTGTCTAATGTTGGATTTGAACTTAGGGCCTCCTGACTCCCTGTTGGTGCTCTATCCACTTGCGCCACCTAGCTGCTCCCTCATATTTTATACTAGAGACAATAGGGAGCTCCTGAAACTTTTTGATCAGGGAAGTGATATGATCAGCCTTGTGTTTTAGGAACTTAAGTTTGGGGGCAGCTAGGTGGCGCAGTGGGTAGAGTACAGGGCCTGGAGTCAGGAGGACCTGAGTTCAAATCCAGCATTAGACACTTGACACTTGACACTTAACTAGCTATGTGACCCTGGGCAAGTCACTTAATCGCATTGCCTAGCCAAAAAGCAAAACAAAACCCAAAAACATAAGTTTGGCAGCTCTGTGGAGGATGCATAGAGATTGTAGAACTTTGAGGCATCAGGAGACCAGTTAGGAGGTGTTGAATTAGCCTGGGTGAGAGGTGATGATTATTGGAAATAAGTTGTTTGTGTTGATGAGTGGAGAGAAAGGGAAGATGAATGAAAAAGCATTTATTAGGTGCTATGTGCCAAGTTCAGTGCTAAATGCTGGGCATACAAGTAGAAAAAGCAAGACAGTTCCCTGCTCTCAGTGTGCTCATTCTCTAATTAGGGGCGATTGAATAAAGTAGTTTAGCTTTAGGGCTACTGGAAAGGCGCTAAAGTTCTTAAGGATGTGAAAGATGTGCAGATGATGCTGACAACTTAGCAACTGGTAGGATTTGGTGGGGTGGGTTTTCATTATTAAGTTTCCTTTTATGTTTGTCTTGGTGTTTTCTGAACTAATAACTTTCTAGCATTATGATCTATAAAGTGTGTTTAATATTTCTGCCTTCTTACATTTATATGCAATATCTTTTGTAAAAGTTCCATGTGAAATATGAATATTTTTGGTAGTCTCCCTTAAAAGATGTCATTACATTAGTCTTTTTAGCTCTTAATTTGTTCTACAATTTTTCAGTTCTATATTTTACCTTGTTTTTCTGTTAGATTTGCCTACCTCTTAAAGAGATAAACATTAATGTCTCCTGTCATTATTATATTACTATTTATGTTTTCTTGCAGTTAAGTTAATTTTTCCCTTATGAATTTATAGGTCATGGTATTTGGAGCTTATCAGCTTAATATTGATATTGGTTTGTTATCTGTGGAACTTTTCAGCATAATGTAGTTTTCTTCTTTGTCGCTTAAATTATGAGTTTTCGGTTTAGTTTTGTCTAATAGTATGATTGCAGCTCCTGGCTTTTTGGATTCAGTTGATGCATAGTACATTTTGTTCTAGCCTCTCATTTTTATTCTTGATATGTCTTTGCTTATAATACATATTAAAACATTGTAAGCAACAGATTGTGCAGTATTGTTTTTTTCATTCAATCTGTCACTTATTTTGTCAGACTGTTTAATCTATTTACATTGTAGTTATGAGTTAGGTGTATATTTTCCTTAATTGGTGATTCCCTGCCCTGTATGGCTGTATCTTAAGAAGCTCTATCCACAATGCTCACTTTGCTTACAGCTCACTCTCTGGTCTGCTTCACTTCCTCTCATCAGCTTTCTTGTTCCCCTTTTTAAGAGAGTACTTTGTCTTATGATTAATTTCCTTAATCTACTTTAAAGGAACCCCATTCCCAGAAGCCCTTTTGCCTTCACGGGATATTCACCACCTCTCTGTCAATTCTCCCTTAGTTTTGCCCCAGTTAACTTATCAGTTCCTTTTTTCTTCTGTTTTGTTATCTAATTCTCCCCCCCACCCCCACCCCCGTAGTTAAATGATTCATTCAAACCTTCCCCCCTTATCCTTCCCTCCAATTTCTTTTTCTATGTCCTTATCTTTAAAAAAAAAAAAAAAGATTTCTTTACCTCGACCTCTTTACTAATTTTCTTCCTTTTTTTATTCTTTAATTCATAGTCTTTATGTTATTTGTAACTTCTTTAATCTCTTTGTGTTTCATATGGAATTTGAGCTTCTAAAGTACCAAGTCTGAATTCTCTTTTCTAACCTTTTTCTATGTAGACCTTGTCCCTTCACCCCCTTTTTCCGTTATGCCTCAGTCTTGAAAGTATCACTTCCTGAAGGAGAAAATGAGTATTGGCCCATTAGTGAAATTTCCTTTTGCCTAAATCATTGGATCCAATTCTACTCTCTGCCCTTCCCATAATCGTTTTCTTTTCTACTTGCCATGCAGTCTCCCCTCTGGGTACATGATCTCCCGTTATTCTGGAAGCCCTTTACTCCCTGGAGCTTAGATTTCCTTTCCCCTAAGGCAGGATGTTGTTTGTAGAGATAGAACATTCTGTCAGAGGAAGTGATGTTCCCACAGATTAGATCCATGGTAAGGTCCCCAATCTGCCATTAGAGAATATGTATGTCTCCCCATGTAAATGTTCTTCTTTGGGACTTTTCCCCCATTGATGCAACATCTCCCCTTTTCTTTCCCATTTTAATTTCTCACTTTGTTACCTCACTTATTTGCCTGTACCCCCTTTTTTCCTAAGAGTTCTCTTTTTGATAACCATGGATTTGATTATGATATATCACACATTCTCTTCTATGCTTCACTAACTTCCCTCTCTTATGTACGCGCCCATTCGGCAGTTTAATCCCACAAACTACATTCTTTGGTACGTGGTGGAGATTGTGGGGTTCAGTCCATGGTTCTTCTCCACCATCACTCTTTCCTCTTTACATTCTGCCCTCATTTTTATCCCTTTGCCTGCTGTTCAAAAGGAAACTCTAGACTGTTCCTCTATTGTTGTTTTTAACCCCCTATGTGTTTTTCTCTTTCTAGTCTTTTCTTTTAATAGACTGTAGAGATGGATATTTTATTTAGTTATTTGTACTTTCCTTGAGAATTGTTTCTTTGCCACTCTTGTGTTTCCACTGTTTTGAGTATTTGCAAGTCAAATAAGCTGAAAATGTCTTTTTCCCCCTTCAAGAATGCTTCAAATTTCTCTCTTTTACTGAATGTCCAACCTTTTTTTTTTTTAATTGATGATTAGACACAGGTTCATATGGCATTGCATTTTGGGTTCCATCTTGAGTTCCTTTGCTTTTTGGAATATAGTATTCTATCCCTTGTGTAGTTACTGGTGGATACAAAAGTCTTACATTATTTGAATTTCCTTCCCTTTATATATGGTCTTTCTCTTCGCCACTTGCACAATTTGTCATCAAAATAGTTAATTTTAACCACTATATGTCTTGGAATTTGAAGCATCAGTTTTAATTATCCTTAACTTATTTGTATTTCCAATCTGTTGTTCTCCCTTTGACTTCTTTGGTGAGGTTTACTACTGTGGATTCAAGTTGTTTTTTTTTTTTTTAATTTTACTAATTATTTCTGCTCTTCGGGCCGTCATTTTATTCCCTTCTAAACTCTCTTAAGATTCTGATTTTTCTCTTCAACCGTTTGAGAACATCCCTCTGTGGCTTCATGTTCTCTTGGGAAACCACACGGTTCCGTGTTTCCTCAGGGGTTGGCTCAGTTTCTTTTGTTTTGTAATATTTATTCATAGACATTTGCAATCTTTCAGTGTCTTGGTGCTTGCCTTCTAATTTTATTCTTTTCTCTGTTCATTAATCTGCTTGTGCTGCAGGTTTTACTAACTGAATTTTCTTCTTTCTGCTATCTTTGGTGTTTTTGCTGTTGTTATATACCCGTCTCTCGCTTTCTGACTTCCCTCTTTGATGTTGGCTTTACCACCCCTCCCCCCCAGGCTGGACCCTTTTCCTATGGTGCCTCAGTCCCTGACCCAAATATTTTTTTGGGGAACAGGGCTGGCCCCAGATGTTTTCAGTTTTTTTTCTTCAGGCTTGGTGCAGCCACTTATGTTGGCCTCCTGCCCCAGGTCCCCCTTTGCTTAAGTTCTCTGGCTTCACCAAGGCTATATCTACTTCCTCCCCTGCCCCTCACTTGAGGGAGGTTAGAGCAGATATTCTGGGAGGAGTTTCTGAAAGCTTTGAGGTTCTCTAAAGTAGGGGGCTATCTCAATCAGAAAGGAAATGTATCTTCACCTTCCCGCATTCTTTTCTTTCTTCTGCAAGAGTTGAGGTTCGCTGCCGGTTGTATCAGGATACTGGGGAAAGGGCAGGCTAGCATGGACTCGCAGAGACTGAAGCAGGAGGGAAATTCCTGGGATGGATCCACAGGTAAACTTCATTGGGTACACCCTGTTGGATCATGGAGGCTGATAGAGGAGGGGTGCTGAGTGAGTTAGTTAAGGATTAGCATAATCTACTGCCAAAAATAAATAGCAAGCATTTACTAATTGTCTACTATGTGTGTAAGCCCTTTACAAATATTATCTTATTTGATCCCCACAACAACTGTGAGAGATAGATGTCCCCATTTTACAGTTGAGGAAACTGAGGTACACAGGATAAGTGACTTGGCCACAGCTAGTAAGAATGTGAATATTTGAACCCTGGTCTTCCTGATTTTCTTGGGCTTCTTCCTTTTTTGTTCTGTGGGAGTATCAAAAATTATTCTACCTCTGGCCCATGATTCCTCTGTTTTTAGTTGTTTGTTTTTTGAGTTAGTGGGGACTGGAGAAAATGTCTAGTCTTTTATTTTATTCGTCACAACCAAATCTGACCTACTCATCCTTCTCCTTTCAATCATTCCTTTGTTCCATAGTTATACACTGCAGTGGTGCTGATCTCTTCCCACTAGTTCTTCCTTCAGTCTCATTCCACTGCCATTTGCCTATCCTAACCAGCTTCTTTGAATTTACTTAAATTGTTAATTTCTCTCTTTCCCTCTTTTTCTTTCTCCTGTTATCTAATCTCAACTGAACTCTCATTTCAGCAAGACAATCTTTTTACTCCTCCCAAATTGATTCTTTATTCCATTCCTCCAAGAGGCTATTTGAGACTTTTCTCTTGCCTCCCCTCTCATACACGATCCCCTCACCCACCTTCTCAACCAAGAACCCATACTCACACTTTACTGAAAGAAAAAATAGACTACTCACCATGAGCACTTATTTCCTTCTTCTCTATATTTCTGAGTCCCGTTCCTTCTTCTTTAACTCCATTCTCTGAAGAAGAGATGATTCTGTTCCTCACCAAGACCAACCCCTCATCGACATGTACTTTTGACCCATCCCTTCTTATCCTCTCCGGCAGATTGCCCCAGCTGTTATCCTTACCCCCAAACCCCAATCTTCAGTCTCTTTGTGGCTCTGCTGATCCTTGGCGGCTGCCTATAAATATGCTTGAGTCTTTCAAACGAGGAAAAAACCCTCACCACACCCTCATCACCCCATATCATCCTATATCACCCCTTATCATGTTATATGTCTTTCCTTTCAAAGCCAAACTCTTAGAGAAAGCTGTTTCCATTTGTAGCTTCCACTTTCTCTTCTCTCAACACTTCTTAACCCTTTGCAGTCTGGCTTCTGACCTCATCATTCAACTGAAACTGTTCTCTCCAAAGTTATAATCTTATGACCTTTTCTCATTTCTCATTCTTTTCTACCCCTCTCTAACATTCAACAGACTTGATTACCTTCTGTGGGTTCTGCTCCCTCTTGATTTTCCTCCGACTTGTCTCACTCAGTCTCCCTTCTCTACCTCTCTCAAGTCTCCTTTATTTCTGTCTTTCTCTGACCCTCTTTTCTTTCCTCCTCCCCCCTTCTTCTCTCTTCCCCTTTATTCCTTATGCCTTGATCACCTCTGTTTTGTTGAAGGACTTTTTTGTTGTTGATTAGGTTCAGTTTTGTAGGATTTCTTACTTTGGATTCTAGCTTAAGTGTTTTTACTTTCTCCATTTCTTCTTCCAATTTCTCCTGACTGAGGAGTCCCCTGGATTATTCACATTGCCTTTCATACTTGAAAGTGTTTTTACTGGATGCTGGTGGAATTTCTTGTTGTTGTGAAGCTTAACCATTACAAGCTTTGGTGTTTTAAGCATAGGTTTCTTTTTGCTGGTAGTAATCTATGGATTCAGTTGTTTAGTGCTTTGTTTTGTTTTGTTTTGTTTTTTAACTTATATTTAAGGTTTCCTATGTTATTTAAAGTGGCTTTTTCCCTTGTACAGTATTTCTGAGATCTTATGGAATCAGCTTTAGATATTGGTTTATAATTCCTTTTTTTGTTTTGAGGCTTTGAGTTTGGAGGGGAAAAAAAGCTTTATATCAATCAATAAGCATTTATAAAATGTTTGCTATGTGCCAGGCACTGTGCAAGTGATAGGACAGGGATAGGGACAGACCAGTGATTTCACTGATATAAGGATCTCCTGACTGAGGAAACTCCTTCTACCAATGCAAGTCTGAAACTTCTCCATAGCTTATAGTCTTAGAAAGTTGCCTGGAGCCCTGAGAAGTTAAGTGACTTGGCCATTCAAAGACAAAAATGAAACTGCATCTGCCCTCAAGGAGCCTTACATTTTCTTGGAGGAGACTATATATACACATACATATACACACATATATGTATGTGTGTGTGTGTCTCTTTCTCTCTCTCAATGTATTTTTTGCTGAGAGGCACCAACAGTGTGGGAGACGAGCAAAGACCTTGTTTTGGAGGTGGCATTTGAGCTGAGCTTTGAATCAGTCAACAAACTTTATTAACAACTGCTATGTGCCAGACACTGCTGGAGATACAGAGAAAAGTGAAACAGTCCCTGCTCTCAAGGAGCTTACGATCAAATTGGTTGTATGTCAGGAACAGTAAATTTGACTGGATTGTATAGTATGTCAGGGGGGAGTAATACATGTGTACATGCACACATGTATGCATGCACATGCACATAGATGCACATGTGTTTGTTAGGCGTGCACATGTGTGTGAATGCTGATGCATGTAGTGTGTGTATATGTGTGATTATATAAACATGTATATGCATGTAACATGTATCACATCTATATGTACCGGCATGGTTATATAAATTATATAAATATGATAAATTATTTTTATACTTTACATGTAATATAGCTGGAAAGGTAGGTTGGTGCCATGTAGTAAAGGGCCTAAAATGCCAGAGAAGTTTGTATTTGATCCTAGAGAGGCACTAAAGAGTCACTGTAACTTATTGAGGAAATGAAATGGTCAGGCCTGTGTTTGTGGAACTAGCTTATCCCCTGCTGCCACGTTCTAATGAACACTGAGGCAGCACTTCTGGGGACTCCTGCTGCAAGGGGTGCTTGAATGGGGTGCGATTATTACTTATCCCTTATCTTTCCATTATATAGTGCTGTTCCAAAATTGCCCTGTTAAGTAAAGAGCCTGAAGACTCAAGAGTCTTTTTCTGTCCCCAGCCTTCTGGAGCTCAGATGACTTTGGACAGACCACAACCTTTGTATCTTGGTTTCCTTACTGGCAAAATGAGAATAACAATCCCTGCTTATGTTGGAGGGATGTTATGAGAAAGCGAAAATAAAAACCATTGCTTTGAGCAATGAGTAGTAAAAATGTTTTCATTATTACTAAGCTGAGGGTGGTAGTGACTAGTGTGATGTAGTGGAAAGAGTCTTGTCCTGGGAGTCAGGAAACCTGGGTTTGAGTCCTGCTGCTAACTACCTTTGTGTCTTCAAGCTGAGAGATCACTGAGTCCCTCTGGGACTCACTATACTCTCCTTATAACAACATGGTGAGGCAGTGTATTTTGTGGATTTTTTACAAAAAGTCTCAGAAAAGTTAAGCAACTTCATGCCCTTGACCCATGAAGGTAGGATGTTAGAAGTAGGACTTGGCCTCAGACCTTCCAATGTCAAGACCTCTGTTCTTTCTGGTAAATCTGACTGTGTCTAGGATTCCTCCCATCTCTACCAGTCTATATATCAATGACTCTATCTTTGGCGCTGCAGAAGCGTCCTGCCAACAACATCTTAGCAATTTGTCTTTGTTTTTTCAGTGACTCCTCCTACCAAGCAGAAAGCCAAGATGGATGACATTGTTGTAGTAGCCCAAGGAACCCAGGCCTCACGGAGTATCAGCAGCGATCCAGATGTCATCAAATTACAGGAGATTCCAACCTTCCAGCCCCTTTTGAAAGGTAAGGGCTTTTGTTTCCTTTCATGTTTCTGGAGAGGAGGCAAGGTGTAGAGGACAGAACTCAGCCTTGAAGAGTTCGACAGTGTGACCTTGAGCAAGGCATTCAGCCTCTCTTTGATGCCATTTCCTCATTGTTGAAATGAGGGGGTTGGAACAGATGACCTCCAAGGGCCCTTCTGGTTCTAGAGCTATAATCCTGTGACCATGGAATTTCGAGGCTGGAAGAGCTCCCCGAGGCTCTCGTTCAATTTGTATCTGACTGACGATTCCCTCTGAAACATAGGTTCCAAACTCACTGGGGTTTGAATATGAGTGGAAGGGACCTCTCTTTCCCCTGGAGGCAGCCTGTTCCACTTTTGGCAGGTCGAGATGTCAAGAAGTTTAACCTTAAATCAAGCTGAAATTTAGTTCTTTTAACTTTCACTCGGTGCTCCCAGTTCTGTCGTCTGGGTCCACACAGACCGGCATAATATGGGGGAAGGAGGAGTCCTGATTCCGACTCTGGAATCCTGTGACCTGGTTTTGAATTTTGTCTTTGACACTATTAACTTTGGGCAAATTACTTATAATACTAACAATAATAATAATAGCTAGCATTTATATGGTGTTTTAAGGTTTGCAAGTTGCTTTATAATATTATCTCATTTGATCCTCACAACAACCCTGGGAGGTAGTTGCTATTGGTATCCTCATTTTACAGATGAGGAAACTGAGGCCAATAGAGGTTAAGTGACTTGCCCAGGGTCACACAGGTAGTAAGTGCCTGAGGCAGGATTTGAACTCAGATCTTTAAGATTCCAGAGCCTGTGCTCTATTCACTGTACTTTTAACCTCATTGGTCTTTACTTTATTTATTTGTGAAATGTGGAGGTCAGACTAGATGCCTTCTTAGGTTCCTTTCAAATCTAGATCTATGATCCTATTTTCTCCTTCCATATGAAAGCATTTCACATACTTGAAATCAGGTATCGTGTCACCCACCATCCCTGCCCCCATTCCTCTTTTCTCCAAGGTAAAGACCCTTATATGGGATAATCAGAGGGTTTACCTTCTGATCAATTCTAAATTTACTTAACTGTAATAAAATAAAGTAAGAACTGACTGCATGCCTGGACTCAAAAAGTCATCGTTAATGGCTCCACATTCATTTGAAAGGAAGTCTCCAATTGGAGTGTCCACAGGGATCTGTCCTTGGCCCCATACTGTTTAGCATTTTCGTCAGTGACTGGGATAAAGGTGTAGATGGCATGCTTGTCAGATCTTCAGACAGCACAAAGCTGATTCCGTGGCTGTTAGAGTCAGGATACTGAAAGCTCTTAAGAGGCGAGAACACTGGGCCCAATCAATTAAGATGATATTTGATAGGGCTAAATATGCAGTTTGGTTCCAAAAATCAGCTTCATAAGGATAAGCTGGGGGAGGCAGCATTAGAGAGCTGTTCATCTGAAAAAGAATTGGGGTAAACTTAGCAAACTACAAGCCCGGTATGAGTCAACAATGTAAGGGCCAAAAGAGCTGCTATAATCTTGGACTGAATTAAGAGCAGCAAAGAGGGGATGAGTGTTGTGTTTTATTCTAAGTGCTGTCATATTTAATGACCCACACCAAAAAGGTAAAGAATGTACAGAAGGCAATAGTCTAACCTATGGTCATTATTACCTTTGTGATCTTGGTCAAGTTGCTTAATTTCTGTGGTCCTCAGTTTTCTTATCTGTAAAATGAGGCATTTGGATTAGATGATCTCTGAGTTTTAGTTCTAGATCTGTGATTTTATGGTTCATCCAGCTGGCTTTCCTCCTCTTTCAATATTGTTTCTTCATTGCTTCCTCCCCTAAGTGGGTTATCCAATCTCTTGATTGATCTGCACAATGATCTGATTTACTCCATTAGTTAGAACATTAATGCGTCCAGTCCCTTTTGCAAAAAAGAACAGGTTCTTTATAAGGAAAGCTGAGTGCCACAGAATCGATGATTTCAGACAAAGCTGGAGAAGATTTTTGAGAGTCCTTTGGACATCAAGGAGATCAAATCAGTCAGTACTTTTAAAAAATTAATTCAGACTATTCACTGGAAGGTCAAATACTGAAGCTGAATCTTCAATACTTTGGCAACATAATGAGAAGATGGGGCTTGTTGGAAAAGGCCTTGATGTTGGGAAAGATTGAAGGCAAAAGGAAAAAGGGACAGCAGAGGATGAGACAGATATTATCATGGAAACAATGAACATGAACTTGGACAGACTGCAAGAGACAGTGGAGGATAAAAAGGCCTGGCCTGATATAGGCCCTGGGGCCACAAAGAATGGACGGGACTGAATGTTACCAAGCATGACCTTTCTCCCTCAGACACACATAGCACTTTGTTTTGCACCTCTCTGATGTACTGATGTATTATTTTTTTCTTTTTATAGTAGCTCTCTTTCTATTTGTAATATCTTGCTACTCAGTTGTAAACTTTTTGAAGGCAGGGAGCTTATCTAAATTTTGTATATTTCCCTTCATGCACACAGAGTGCTTTGTAAACAGTAGCATGTAATAAATGTTGAATTGTAGAATGAAATTGTGCCTGTAGATTACATTTATAGTTCTTTTTGTTTAAGGACATGTGGGTGGTTCCACATAAACCATAAGTCCTACAAATTACCTCACTCCTTTCTGATGACGTGAGTTGGAATCTCAGCTCTACCACTGACTGCCTTTATGAGTCTGGGCAAATCACTTAACTTCTCCATGCCTCTGTTTCCTCCTCTGTAAATTGAGGAGTTGGACTAGAAGACCTCTAAGGTTTCTTGGGACTCTAAATCTGATTGTATTATTTTCTTCCATTAGCTAGAATGATTGAAACTTTACTAACTCCTGTGTAGGGAGTCCTTTTTTTTTTTCTTTCAGAGCTAAAGAAAAACAAAAGATCATAAAGTTACTGAACTCAAGGCATATTTTAAATTAAGGGACTTTTCTTTCTTATCACTGTCAACCCTGACCAATGAGTTACAGTCATGCAACCACTGTTAACTCTGGGGAAAAGAAAAAAAACACAGAGCTCACACAAGTTATCAAAACCACAGTTAAAGGGGGCAGTTAGGTGGCACAGTGGATAGAGCACCAGCTCTGGATTCAGGAGGACCTGAGTTCAAATCCGACCTCAGACACATGACACTTACTAGCTGTGTGACCCTGGGCAAGTCACTTAGCCCCCATTGCCCAACTGAAAAAAAAAAAAACAAACCACAGTTAACTAAAAAATAAAATAAAATAAAACTAACAGTGATTATAAGCAAAAAACTTTCTTTATGCTGTTGGAGGAGGAAAACTAGATGCATATATAAGGGTGGGGTGTCCCAGTAGGAGGCCCACTTTAGTGTGGACAAATCTTAATACTTATACCAATGGCTACGAAGTGAGCTGTAGCCCTGACAGTGGAGGGGTAATAGCAACAATGAGACAAGTTTGATTTACAGCAGGACTTCATGACCAGAACATGGTCACAGTCCTTTTAAAGAAAGTATGGGTACTACAGGTACTCTAAGCTCAGAGACCACCTGGTGTTAGTGTGAAATAGTTTGGGGATTTTGCTGTGACTGAGTTCATCCAGAGGGTGAGTGCAAAGGATTGTTGTTATGCCAAGCTCAGGGCACAGGTTGCTTGCTGGGCCTTAGCTCTGGAAAAGAGGATTCTCCTAATAATAAAAAGAGATGAGTAAAAAAGAGAGGAGTGGTTTTGGATGGGGATTCTGACTCCACATTGGCCTCTTGCAAATGTTTCGATAACCTCTGCTGACAAATTAGACTAGGTCAGATGTCAGCATCCAGTGGCTTGAAAGCTGGGTGTGACTTTTTAAAGTGGCGTGGTTGTGACCCTGGCTTCTGAAAGTCTGGAGCTCTGATGGGTCTCAGTAAACTGGAAGTACGGGCTTTATAACCTGAGTGTTTGTCTGTTGTCCAAGGACTAGCTTAGTAAGCTAATCCAGAGAAGCTCATTATTTAGCTGGCTACAGGGTGATGCCTCCCTCCCTCCCCCCCCCCCGCCCGCCTTAGTCACAGGAGTTTATACATATTGACTTTTGTGGCATAGATGGAAATGGCCATTGAATTATGGTCCTTGTAGTATTAAAGGAATTAACATCTGGCTAGTTAACTTCCCGTATTCTCCTCTACCCCTTTTGTGAGTAAATTCATTTTTCCAAGCAAAACAGTAAATAGAATTCAGGGAAATTATACCTAAAATTCCATGGCTCTTCTAGGGAAAATCTGAGGTCACAGGAGCCCAGACGCCATCTATTCCAACCCCCTCATTTCAACAATGAGATAACTAATCAGAGAGAGTCTAAGTGCCTTGTCCAAAATCACATAGCTCCTAAGTGTTAAAGGTGGGATCTGAACTCAGGTCCTCCTGTGTCCAAATCTGCATTCTATACCCCACACCTTGCTTCCTTTCCAGAAAGACCAAAAAACCTCTGTGGTATGTGAATATATTGTATCGTAAGAAACTAGAAATATGAGGAATTCAGGAAAAAAAAAAGATTTATATGAACTAATGCAGATTGTAATAAGCCAAATCAAGAGAACAATATATACATCTGTAGTAATGTAAATGAAAGTTGAAAAGACAGTTGAAAGCTCTAAAGAAAATTGAGCTCTGAATAAACGAAAAACCAATAAACATCCTGGAGAGCATAAATACAAAAACATAAATCACCTTATAAAAGATGTAAGGTGATTCCTTTTTTGTGTGTAAAAATTTGATAGTTTAAAGAGACAAAACTTTTTTTTATTAAACTAATAAAATGAGAGCATGAAGAAGTAATTTTCAAGAATACAGAGTAAGAATGAACACTGTTTTGAGAACTGACTAATGGCTGGAGCTGTAGGATGTATTGTGACCCCTTGGCTCATTTGCCTTTAGTTCTTTTAAAAGGGCAAAACTCATAAAATTAAAATTCATATCACTGTTTAGAAACTGAGGGGTAATTAAATATGAATTGTTGATTTCATAGGGGATTTAG